GCCAAGTTGAAAGAATAGGGTGGCGTTAAACCAACATGTTAGTACCATTGTAGACAGGCACACGGAGTCATGCAAGGAATTAGGGAATATTATCTTGACGGACCGTGAGGATCCTATCTCTACACAACTCTCTTCTTACCTCTCATCAAGTAGAACTAAAAGGCTTCCTTCATATTGTGTTTCTCTGTTTTTCTTTCACATCTATGTATATACACAACGCTGCATCGTTTGCTTTCTCTGATATCAAATGTATCTCCCTGCTATCTGATGTTTTGTATACTGACGAATGTCTGTTTACATACTACTGATAAATCGTATCAGTAGCACACGCCATTATTATGTAATTAATTATGCTAAAAATTCCATATTTTATTAAATGTAGTGTTTGGAATAAGGCCACTGTTATTACTATTATCAACCCCCGTACAGTAAATTTAGCTCATACACCTGAATTATGTTGGGATCCTCTTTAGCTCTAAGGATCACTGACTTTTGCTAGTGTAGTATGACAGAGATGTTTTCCATAAAGGTGGTCTAATTCGGTAGGCATTATCAATTCATAAGAATTTTTAGAATATTCGTTAAGCACACGAAAGGTCTGAATTCCATTTCTTCACTGAACCAGTCCCAAAATGTGGGCTGACTGGTGGTAAACCAACAAAAATAAAGAAGTATTGGCATCATGCTAACAACATCTAACCCGGAAAATAAAACACTATTGTTACTGAATGAAATCAAAGCTTGAGAAATGAAACCCTGTGTTCCACGCAAGACCGACAAATCTTTCAAATATTGAGTTTAATAATCACAAGTTCATTAAGTGTGCAATTAATGTGTTTATTTCTAAGATTGAAACCTGATGTAGCAATGAGTACTCTGTACGGCTAAGGAATAGCAAAGTAAGCCGAAACGTCTGTCAAGTGCTCCTTGATTATTACCTAGTGGCCAACCAAAGTACCCACATTACAGTCCTAAAGAAGGTTTATGTCAAGCGTGAATATCTCAGCGGTAATGATTTTAACTGCAGTGCTGGTTGACACGAGGATTTGAATTTCAGAAGGGAAATGAGTTCCTTGAAGGCTGCAGGTACGCCAAGCTGACTAGTGAGTACCAACAGACATGAAACCTAGGCCGAGTATGGCTTCCTGACTATTATCTCTAACAATCTAACAATAATATTGGTTGAATTCAACAGTAATACTCCCAATTAATACATGGTTAAAGGGTATCTTGAATATGCATAGTTGGAATTGAATTTTCAGCAATCATGGTTAATTGGTTTTTTTGTTTCCTGGATGTGAAACAGAAAATACCCGAAACTGAGCATGTTAACTTTAGTGGTTTTTACGGTGAAAGTGGACATATCATAAGTCAGTTTATCCTGAAAGGGGACATCCTTCTATTACTGTATAGAACTGAATAAATACTATTAAGATTAGGCTTACTGTTTCTATACTTGTGTTCCTGTATATCATCAACATGCATAGCCATAATGTGATCCTCCATAGAACCAATGACTATTTGGAGGCTTCTTAACTGTAACTTAACTAATAATAACTTTATTCTACACCATATGTATATTTAGATTACATATTAATTTATTTATTAGATATATCACACAATCAGTGAAACAATATTATTTACTGGATGACGAAGATTCGAACACAATTTATTGTTCGAAATCATGTCAATTATCATCAAACAACTTCGCAAAATTTCAGTTAGAGAACCATTGGAAAACCTAGCAGTAATGGACAGCTGTTTCCTACGTCCTAGTTTGGGAATTATTCAGCAGTATGCACCCACCGGGATTCGAACTCATGACATTTTGGCTACAAGGCGACCTGTCAGACCAGTAAACCACTGGGACCTAAAGTGGAGTGTGTTGGCCTCCCACACATGATCACCTCTTATTGAGTCGTTATCACAGAATTTCGCTTAATAAAAGACGGGATATATGTTCTAATTTTTGAGTAAGGTGGAGACCATATAACATAAGTGAAAATTAGGCGTAGCACTTAGTCACGGCTGTAAAATATAATTTTGTATTAAGTAATTTTACCTGATGTAACATAAAGTGATAAACTCTATCACTAATTGGATAACGTTTCGATCATAACTTTTTGCCATTCATTATCACATTAGTGTTTTCATAGAATTTCATAACCTTCTTTACATAGCCTTACTCCTTGAGATTTTTTGTATGCCCAGCACAGGCGTTGAGTTATTCCGATTGCACCTGTACGGTGTTGAATCGATAAACAAAGCTTCAGTGAATAACCTCTCTGCCTCTCCACCTAACTATATTTACCTTTTAATACTCTCAGCCTATCCCACCCTATCTTGTGATTACATACAAGTGAATACATTGTTGTGGTCTTACTTCTTTCCAGACTATTTAACTCGATGGGATCAATCCGTCTAGATCTAATTAAATTCCTATATTCTGGTAATATAACTGACCCCAGCCTACTACTCTGATCTATGTAACTGACCTCGCAGTCATTGCATGACATTTGGTAAATTATATTACTTTGCTTAATTGGATCTATCGTGTCCTTTTGTTTGTTTGATTTCATTGCTTAAATCTTCTGGCTTACCACTAGTTAGGCTCTTGGCCCGACTACATAGACATTCAACTGAACCTATCTTTACCGATTCCAAATTAGACGAATTAAAATCTAAGTATTTATTAGAAGCTGTCGGTTTCCTATAAATGCCAGCTAGTATCTAACCGTCCACTATCTTGTTTTCGTTTTATTCTACAGTCTAGCATGACCAAATCACCCTATTCGTTTTCTAACTTAGAAGTGAATTGGATTCCATCTGCTATTGAGTTTAAAAATATATGAAAAACTGACGGTAAAGTTCAGATTTTTAACACAGTGATGAATTACGTCATCCACATATCTCCATTATAACCTAGGAATAGGATTACGCTTTCAAAGAACTTTGCATTCTGAACTATTCATAAATATGTCTGCTACTAATGCGGATATTGTCAATTTCATTGTTACGCTATTTGTTTGTTTGCATGTTTCCCTTTGAAATTTGAATACAGTCCTATGCGCTTCTTCATTTTACTTCATTTGCTAGACCGCCGGTGACTTGCTGACTCCTGTTGGGAATATATATATTCTTTATTCTTGCATTAAATCATCTGCATAAATGGTCCGCTAGCAGAAGACGTGCCAGCCACGCACATGATATCGTTTTTATTCTTGGATACACCCCTAAAATCTCATCCACTTTACTATTCAATAAATAACAAACCCAAAAAAAGAAGGAAGGTTTGACGCATGAGATTGAAAACTAAATCCTGGGACTTGAAACGATACGTCCCACTAGGAATATAGAGGATGGAAAATGTTACATTAACGACGAAGTTAAATTTAAAGCACTCGAGAGGTACGATTTTGAAACACTCAGGCAACAAGTTAGTAAAACCAGGCGAATAACCACGTAATCACGGATAAAATGTACTTCATGAAGTGTTATGATATTAAACGGGATTTTTGGTAAATTATAGGTTAGGTTCAGGAAAGACAGTGTCAAGTTATAGACTAAGAACAGATCAGGGTTAGGTGAACCTAATTAGGGAGTCATTAGTGTTTGGTTCTAGATAGATTTGGGTTAAGGTTAGAAGATCAAATTTACGCTTCAGCTCTATGACTTTTTCCAAAGTCATTGGTGAGTCTGCGGTTCTTAAAGTTTAGCTTCTCCCTATTAAGTTGAAAAATATTTTAATATCAGTTATTATTCTCTTGACTTCCTAGTGGAATATAGGGATTCAGTAACACATATCCATTTCGTCATACTCTCCACAGTCCTCTTTAACTGACTCCACAATTTTCTGTAATCTGTCATCTCCTTCTCACATGATCTCCATGTCAACCTAGGATCAAAACCCTTAACTGGTCCCAAAGCTAGCTCATCTTTGCTGAACTTCGTGTTCTCTTCTTTCAATTAAATTAAGACTAAAGTTGAGCAAATTAATTGGATGACGTAACATAAATGACTAGAAATTGAGTGTTGATCAAGTCAGTAACAGTGGTAATGAGGTGAAGAAATTAAATCGGGTGGGGTAGAGAACAAGCAAGTTGAAAATGTGAAATATTACAATTGAGAAGACAAAATAATACTAGTGAAGAGACAGAAAGAAAGAAAGAAAGAGATAGAATTTACCTGTCGGATATTAACACAAATTACGTCCATTACAAGTGTAGTGATTGAACAAACTTCTTCTGTAGGCAGAGTTCAGGACTCAGCAAGTGAATTGCCATTGCTTCTGCAGTTTGATTCGTACACTTTTAAGAAAAACTGCTTAGTATTCTGTAGACGACTTTGAAGTTTTTTTGGAGGGGTGTAGCTTTTTGTCCGAAATCTATCAGATGTTCTAAGATAGAGCTGCATGGGATCACCGTTTTTCTCCTTTGTAAAACCATGCTGGTTAGTGTTCAGTGATACGTTTTGGAAAGCGAACACTGGGTACGGCCGACATACCTGGCTCCACTGGTGGAGCAGGTGAATTGGTAGATACACAATGATGCAGCCAGCAATGGTAGCTTATCTTTCACGTTCATACGAATCATAGGTTTCATGGAGGAGGTTAGTTGGAATTCAGCCGCAAAGAGGGTTTTCTTAAGTGAACGCAACACTCGCCATATCTGTTGGTTCGTTCCTTGAGTTTCTTGTTACTATTTCTGTCTAGCTGGCTCCTTGATCTTCAGTATGGTGGAAAGCGTGCAGCTGCTGACAAAAGTCTGCAACAGCTTGCTAAGAATTCTTTTCATGACGTGGAGATCAAGTTTCGAACACATATAGTACAAATGACTAACTTAACGTTGGTGTTAAATATCCAAATTTTGTTTTTTGTGTCCTTTGAATGCGGCAGATTTCCAAACTCTTTTAATTTTTCATAACCATACAAAGTTCACTTTAAATTCCAGGTCCAGATAGATTTCTTTCTTACATTTTTTATCTCTTTGTATCCATTCCAGGGAGTCCATCAACCCTTGAAACAGCTATAACCACGAAAACAGCAACTTCAACACTGCAAACAGTACCACCACCACCACCAACAACAACCATGATTTCATCGATGTCACATTCCCCTAGAACATTAGTTCCACCACAATGGGACTTCAATAGTAATAATAATCATGATAATGGTAAAAGTATTATTAATATCAAGAATAATGACATTAAACTCACCTGTAATTCATCACGTAAACGTTCACACATCAAAGAATCAAAACAACTGATTTTAAAAAGTGTAAGTATACCACTACAAATACTACTAGCAATAACCATTTAAGTAGTTACTCTCAGGATAAATATTTCACTGAATATCCCTATCAAAATAACAACTCCCACGACGACGACGACAAAAATCATGAAATTATTGACAACAGTAGAATTAAGTCGAATTCTACTACTAATGATGACATAACTCTAAAGAATGTGAATACTCGTCATAATGATGGCGGAGGTGGTTATGGAGATCCTGGCTATATTGACGATGGCGACGATGATGTCAGTCACCACTCTTTTGTCGATGATGATGATGACAATAATGACACACAAAGTCCAGATGAGTACTTGTCTACAATAAGTCGGAAGAAAAGTCAACTATCACATCATAATTTAAACAATATCAGTTTGAATAAACCGCGTAAAGAACGCACTGCATTTACTAAACAACAAATATGTGAATTAGAAAAAGAATTTACAATTCACAGTTATTTAACACGATTAAGAAGATATGAAATTGCTGTAGCGCTAAATTTAACTGAAAGACAAGTAAGTTATTCAAATAAATACACATTTGTTTAATGTTCAATGTACAATGAATATTTTTAGCGGTTATTTTGATTTTTATGTTTACTGACTCATAATAATAATACCAATAATAATAATTATTGGTTTTTTTTCATGAGTTGATATCAGTTAATCACTCACTCACTGGAAAATGAAAATGGAGTACAGGACAGCTGTTTCATCCTAGTTTGTTTCTCCTCAGATGTATGAACCCAAGATGGCAAGATCGTAGACGCTTCAGTCATTGAGGTCTGGTCCAATGGCCAGTCGATGAATTCAAACTTTAATCACTTCGTAATACATATGGTGCAACCACCTACCTTCCTCGACTTCTTAGAGTGACATGGAGAGGGTGAGAGATCATAGACAAAGAGGACCACAGAAAATAGAACAAAGTGGAGACGTGCTGATAAAGTCCTATGTTCTACTTGGAACCCAAGATAACAATACTAATAATAAATGTCAGCGTCATAGACGAGTGACTGTTCTCTCATCTGACTTGATGGACTTCGCTAGTTACGACTTCGTACTAGAAAAAATACTTATTTATGTCTGTGGATGATTAATATGAGCCCAGATGGTGCCTTTGATTTTATTCCTAACTTGCCAGTTGAATCTCATTGCGTTTCAGTATAAATTTGTGTCTATTTCCCGGATCTGAGCTCATCGTTTTAAGCGTAAAATGCGTTATCCATTAGACTACTGAATGAGGACAGACGTCTGACATACAAGGGTATCAACATATATATTTTTCAAATTTTATCGAACCTATACTTGTGATCTTTAACTTCTATCAAGTCGTAACTTTTAATAGCATGTCAGTAAATGTTATCGGCGTGTATCTGTCCTCACATTCAACCTGTTGGACGCCGAAGGTAAAGATTTCTCACTAGAAATCCAGTCAATTTCGCCTTGTAGTTATTCACTAGTCAACATCAGATTAATAATTTCCAGGTGTTTGTTTGTAAGGATTTCTGTAGTTTCAAGTTTGAATTCCCCTTGTAACCTCAAGGTTCAATCTCTTAAGGGTGGGGTCATAGATGAGTACTGGTGAAGAGTCGTAAACTAGGACCAAATAGCTCCTTATCAAGTACTCCTTGTTGGTTTTTGGATGGTTCTCTTATTATTATTTACTTTAATTCCTAGAAGAACGTAGGGCTTCAGCCGCGCGTCCCCATTGCATTCGGTTCTCTGCTAGAGTTTTCACCTGGCTCGAAGTCTGTCCACACGCTTTCATCTCCTCTTCACATGACCTCCTCCACCACGTCACCGTTGCACTGACAACCAACTCGTCGCTTCCCTTTCGGCCGGGTTCCACTCGAGCAACGGCTTGTCTAGTGATGTCACTTGATGGTTTGTGTTTTCAGAGTATGGCCAATCCACCTAACTCTATTTCTTCCTGCTTATTTGTTTCACAATCGGTTCTTGCTAGGTTGGTTCATTCATTGCCAGAGATCCCTGTTGTTGAGATTTTCTGGCCGGTCATCTGATCTTGAGTAGTATTAAGCGAAGACAGCTGCTAATGAAGGTCTGAAGTTTGTTTGAGATGCTCTTTATGACTCGCCAAGTCTCTGATCCGTATAGTAAGTTGCACTGACTGACTTCACACTGGAGTTGAAAATCCGGATCTTATTTTTGATGCTGAATGCTGTTGACCTCCACACAGACTTGGTGAGAGTAATGAAAGCTTGTCTTGCTTTCCCGATCCTCACCGCTTTGATATCCTCATCAGTTCCGTCCGCCTGTGGATGAAACGATGCTTCCCAGGTCGGTAGGTAAAGGAGGTTGTTTCTTTCAGGTTCCTCCCATTTATGCTGATTGTTTTCTGTTGTTGCTGTTGTTGCTATTGATGTTGCCCAGGAATCTTCATCACCACCTCTGTTTTATCCATGTTCACCTGAAGTCCTATCTTTGACAGTTCTTCTGTCACCTAGTTGATTTCACTTGCATATCTTCCAATCTGTGGGAAATCGAATATATATCATCGGCGAAGTCCAGATCCTCCAAGTTTTTTTGTGTGTGGGTCCATTTTATGCTTGTTTCCTCCCTCCCCTCCGTCTGTCTGTCACATTATCCAGTCTACCGCAATCAGGAAAATCATTGGAAACAGTAAACGGCCAGCCTTGTCTTACTCCCGTTTGCACTTCGAAGGATTCCGTGAGTTTCCTGTTGTGGATTGGATGGTTCTCTAACTCATACCAATCCATGATCACATTTGAAACTATTCAAATTGTTACAGACTAAGCCTTTTAAAACTTGTTGTCAAATATTTGTTAGTAGCGATCAATAGTATTCAGGATACAAGCTTTGTTCACTTTGTAATTTATCTATTCATCCTACTTGTATTACAGTGAATGTCTGTGTTTCTGTTCATAGTCAGATCCACCACGCATATTATCCTCGACTAGATTTTTTTAATTATCCATTTATTCCAGTGAGTAGCTGTGACCAGCACAGTTCATCGGATCAGGTAAGGGAATATGGATACTAGTAACCAGTGTAATGTGTCTAGTCCTTTCTTCGCTGCAGACTGAATTCTATCAGTCAGGTTTGTAATGTGGCCACCATTCTAGGTAGCTCGCCATCACGGCGCACATCGATTTGATGATATTAGATGGTTGGAGGCAATCGGCCACAGGAAGCCTTGGACCTAGGTTTCATGCTAGTTGACACTCACCAGTCACTCAGCAAGGTGTATCTGCAACCTTGAAGGAGCTCATGTCCCTTCTAAGATTCGAACCCGTGTCACCCAGTGCTGCAGTCGGAGACACGACCACTGAGCTATTCGAGCTCGCTTCCTTCCGATTGCCTCCAACCATCTAATATCATCAAATCAGTATGCACCGTGATGGTGAGCTACCTAGAATGGTGGCCACATTACAAACCTGACTGATAGAATTCAGTCTGCAGCGAAGGAAGGAGTAGACACATCACACTAGTTACTAGTGTCCAATCAAAATATCCACTACAGTCCTAAAGGAGGTCAATCACGAGCTCGAATAGCTCAGTGGTAACGTCTCCGACTGCAGCAGTGGGTGATGCGGGTTCAAATCTCAGAAGGGACATGAGCTCCTTCAAGGTTGCAGATACGCCTTGCTGACTGACTGGTGAGTGCCAACTAGCATGAAACCTAGGTCCAAGGCTTCCTGTGACCGGTCGCCTCCAATCATCTAATATCATCAAGACTAAAATTATATCAGTCAAATTGGCAATGTGGCCAGACTATTCTAGGTGGCTTACCATCACGGCGCACTTTGAAGGGATATGAGTTACTTCAGCGTTACAGATGAGCGCCATCTAGCATGAAACCTAGTTCAAAGACTTTCTAGTAATTGCCTCCAAGCATCTAATGGTTGCACTATATATATATATATATATATATATATATATATATATATATATATATATATCGCAAACTGGTAGATGTTGGAATTCGTGGCCCAGTCACCGTGTCGGATCCCAGTGACTGAATGGTCTACGAGCTCGCCTTACAGTCGGAAAGTTGTGAGCTCGAAACCTGGTGGAGAACATACTCCACTGAAGAGTCCCTTCAAGTCACGGAGAAATAATTGGCTGTCCAGTGCTCCCCCTTCCAGGTTTTCCAATGCTTCTCTAACTGACATCAGTTTGTGATCAACACTGTAAAATCAATCAAATCCTTGAAAACTAACACTGGATATCATCTCATGGACTAGGAATAACAATTTCTAAACTTATCCTTTGACAGGTGAAAATGTATAATATATAAATGTAAAGATGAGAATCTCCTTCATGCTAATTCATTTGTATGAATGACTATAGTAGTAACATTAGTAATAGAAGTCTGAGGGAAAAACACGAAAACACATTCACAAAACTACACAAAGAATATTGATCTCTATTGCTATGCTATTCATGTTTTCTAATATACAATATCATATAGGCACCCACTGCAGTAGTAGTAGTGTTAGTACATGATGCTCGTAGTCTCCGATTTCTCTCTATGGACTACTACTATGTGCTGCTCCTAGAGTTGTCAAAGTTTACAGGAGAATATGTTGTTTTTTTACATCAATATATCATAAAAGTATGAATTATTCTGTTACTAACAGTGATCGTAGGTAGCGGTGGGTGGTGCGTGGGTGGGTGGGTGGGTGATAGACGGAATGTAGAGTGATATCCTTGGTGAACAGTGATAAAAAAAAACCTAGTTTTCCATATCATTCACCAACATCCTCCACCCACCCATCCGCCCACACAGATACGCACTCACCCCCCGCCCCCCAGAGAATAAAGCATTCTGGTAATAATAACACGCACACATAGGCCCATTGTAAAGATGGGATCACCTGCGTCATTTATCTCATACACAGTCAATCACCTGGACAAGAATAGACATTACACACACCCATCCACACCAACAAAATACAATAAAAATATATCCAATAAACACCAACAAAGTATGATACTCACTGGAATTCATTCACTTTCAATATACATTGTTGTCTAGTCACACATCTATCACGTATTCGTATTGTAATCCTTTTCGCCGGGAGTTGTTGCTAAGTGAACATTATGTTCACCTCTATACTCTATGGGATGGATTGATGTGTTTTTTGGGGTTCAACACGTACAGGGCATATTTTATGTCTACCTTAAGACGCTTAGAATGGGGTGAAAGCGAATGGGGTAGTGTGGGAGGGGAGCGGTGATATTATGGGTTAACTACACTTCTTTCTCTCTCTCCCTTCCACCACTGTCTGTCTCCCAATCCACACACACACACATACATACACTCATTCACTCACATAAAGATGATCTTAAGACTAGTTGATCGCTCTATGCTTTATACTGTGCCAAATCGGGTTTTATTTTCTAAACTAAGTAATTAATTAATTAATTTAATTGTTTCTATGATCCAGTCGGATCGAGAAATCTGCATTCAATACGTGTGCATTTTGTAGACCAGATGTAGATAGAATAAAAAATGGCAGAATAAAAAA